CTAATAGATGGAGCATCCAAAACCTGGCAGACCCAAGCATCAGACATCCTGGACTGTGATCTGAGAAGACGTTTGACATTCTATGGTATTCAGTGGAAATTGGTCTAGAGGGCAGATTTAAGAGAGTGAAGGAGGGGAAAAAATGTTACATGGGATAAAACAAGTAAGGAACAATACAGAGTTGTCAAATACATAAAATGCGGAGCCGAGAAATGGAAAATACCAGCTCAGAGGTCAGTCAACAAAAGAAGTGAACTTGAAACATCCACAGGTCTGAACCATCCTGTGAAATGTGGAGAGGATTGATTCTTAGGAGAATGGATGTTAATTATCACATACCTCATCACCATTGTCTTCAGTTCCCAGAGACAGAATCATAGAATGGGAAGGGACTTTAAAGATTGTCTAATTCCAATCCCCTGCCATAGGCAGGGACACCTTTCACTAGACCAGGTTGCTCAAAGCGCCATCCACTTCCAGGAATGGGACATCCAAAACTTCCCGGGGCAGCCTGTGACTGTCTCACCACCCTCACAATAAAGAACTTCTTCCGAATGTCTAAGCTAAATTGACCCACTGTTACTTTAAACCCATTCCCCCTTGTCCTCTCACTACACGCCTTTGTAAAATGTCTTTTCCAGGTTTCTTGTAGCACCCCTTTAGGGAACGGCGTTCTAAGGTCTCCTCGGAGCTTTCGGTTCTCCAGGCTGAACAAGCCAAACTCTCTCAGCCTGTCTCCATAGGAGAGGTGCTGCAGCCCTCTGAGCATTTTCGTGGCCCTCCTCTGGTCTCGCTCTTGTGTTGGGGGCCCCAGAGCTGAACACAGTACTCCAGGTGGGCTCTCACAAACACAGCAACTTGCAAACTGATTCCCATGTCCACACGCAGCACAGGCTGTGAACAAACTACACCATTTAGCTAATCACATCACTTAATAATCAACAGATGGACCCTAGATCAACAGTAAAATAGGCTATTTCACATAAGGAGTATATTCCTAGATTAAATGAAGAGCCAGCCTTTTTCTATTCATGCTTGCTCATAGTTGTAAACTGTAAAATGCTCTGCTTTTAAAATGCATTTTTACCTGATTTTGTTCAGCGCATGGGAACATTTGTTACTGATACAGTACCTGAGCATCACCACAAACAACAGTCTTGCTTCAATGCCTTAAAATGGACTTACAGGCAACAAGAACACCCTGTTTGGGAGCCAATGCTGCCAAAGCACATACCCATACCCAGCGTGGGTAAACCTTATACTGTAAGGTCTGACATGGGACCTTATACTATCCTTGTGGTGCATTTCCAAGTAGGTGCAACACCCACCACTCTAGCTACACGTTCCAACTAGGGGACCAGTCATCCCATTCACTTGCATTTGAGGACTTCCTTTAAGCTAACAAATGCTGTCTTAAAGACGATCCTCCTTTCTGAGTTCCAGTTTGGAGGAAAAGATCGCTGTGGCACACTGGTATCTTTGCACTTGCCTATCTGTCCTTCCAAGCTGCAACTTTCTTCAGCTGTTCTGAGCTGTCTGTAATTAGCTTTATAACAAAGATGATTTCAGGAACTGGCAAGACAAACTGAAGTAAACACAAGATGAGAGAAAACAAACAAGTCATCCTTTTAGCTTCTGATTACATCCTCTTGTTTTGTTCTTACAGATCACTGCATGGTCAAGATTACCTTGCAACTGCCCTGAGCATACTCCCAACACTTGTACTCATTGCTTTATCATCTCTTGTGACTCAGTTTATCTTGTGACAAGACAGGCTGATTAAGGGCGGGCTGCTCCTCAAGAGCGTTCAGAGTATAAAAATTATACATTCTGAACAGGCATTATTCATATTAAAACACATCATTTTTTTTTTCATACATTACACTGCTAAAATAATGGTATCCCCTTGGTTTCACTTAGGCCAGGCTAGTGATTTAGATTTAACAGCAGTTATATGAGCTCTGCTACTTCTGCCTCTCTGAAATGGCACTAATGATCACATCTGACTGTGAGACTATTATATGTAAATAAAAGTGAAAACTAACATGTTCAGTGACAAAGCTTACATTTCCATAGCTAAGCCAGCTCAGCTATATTACCTCTCTAGGCAGCTATGGACAAGTTACTGCCAATGCACTGACCTATGTCAGAAGATACCACCACAAAGCTTGGTTTGGGACTAGATACATTCCTAGCTGAGAGGCTTGATAGGTGCAGCCACTGGCCAAAGAAAAGCCAAGCCACTTTGCCACCAGAAGGCAGCAGCATACAATGATCACGCAGCAGCATGGCTCTCCTGTGTAAGACAGGTAGAGCTGCCCAGGGAGATGGACTCCAAATTGAAAAACCACGAGTTACTTGTACACCCAGCAAACATCCAGAAGCAAGCACAAATAAGGAGGAACTGGATCCCACGCTTCTTGCATGATGTGCACAGCTGCTGACTCTGCAAAAAGTGATATAGTTGACTGGACTGCAAGATGCACACACACATACACACATTTTACCGTGGAACCTCACCAAATCCAGTGACTTGTACATACATGCTTTTGACTTCCTCTGAAATTCAAAAGCTAGGGTAGATGCTGGAGCAGATGCTGGAGTAGGGATGTTACGAACCTGAAGACCAGCCCTGATGTAAAAGAGGAAGAATGCTGCGGTGGAGACAACTTACCTGAATGACTAGGGCAGCGCTGCTGGCTTCTGACAGGACACATGGACTCCATTTTAACCCCCTGTTCCATTGGTAAGGCTCTCTTCTTTAAACACCGTATCTTGAAAACTAAAGCAGACAAAAAAGCAAACAATATTCGATAGGAAACTCTCTTCCATTGATTTGGCAAGTACTGTGCAGAAGATAAACAACAAGTTGGACACTCTGCCAGACTACCTCCTTAAACCAACCCCACCTCCAAATCTCTCCCTACTTACACACACTGCTGCCTGTCCTGGAACTACAAAATAGTTTCTCCTGTGCAGTGTAAGAAAAATACTAATTTCAGAGAGAAAGAGTGAGAAGAGAGAGAAATTTTTTCGGCCCTCTAAATAATGAGTCATTTTTATAGAAACTGTTTCCTTCTCCTAGCACAGAAATAAAGCTAAGCTCATGGACTGTTTTTCTCACTCACTCAACACAAAATGTAGGTTCTGGCAATTCTTTTTAACATCAAAATATTGAATTATTTTCAGTATCACTTTACTATTTGACAATCTTAATTATGAAAGTCAATAAGCAGAAACTGTCAGTTTTGATTTCCTATTTCTACTGCATAATTGAAACAAATAAAAATCAATATAACTAACGTAAATGGATGTAACAAAGATAAAGACAGACAGGGTGGCCAAGTACACAGACACTGCTTGCTTAGGCATATTGCAAAATTCTCCCGCAGTTTAAGACTATTAAACCTGAAACCATTAAAAGTAGTTACACTATCAACTGCATGTTAACATACCATCCCACATTCCTGCCACTCTATATTAAAAAACAATCCCAAAACATGCACACTGGAGTAATATTGAAACAAAGTCATACCAAGTTACTGTGTTGACACTTCAGAAGTATGTGAAAGCTTTATGGAACAGCAACACCTGTGGCCTCACACAGCTGAGAGGGACTGGGTAAGGACAGCATTCCTAAGGCAAATTTCAGACCTGTCTATGCTGATTTAATCAGTTGTGGCCATCCCGGCTAATGCTGCTGCCCCTGGGCAAGGCACTAGAGCAAATCTCTTGAATGGCCTTTCTCTGCTACTGTGCAACTCCAATCAAGTGGGTTAAACAACCTCAGGAGGGGTTAGGCTGAGGCCAGATGCAAAGCTCCTCTCATGCACCCACTGCTGCCCAGAGGAGGGCTGGTAAAGAATGCGTAGGTAGTGACTCTGTGGGCTCCAGGACTGAGGCTGTACCCACCAGGTGGGCAGACACTGGCATCTAGAGCCACACTGCTCTTTCTACAGTGCTCATGTGATCATGGCTCAAGTCTTTAACAGAGATGTCACTAGATTTTTTTCTCTTTAGAAGCTATTGTGCAACTTTTAACATTTTCATAGAATCATAGAATGGTTTGGGTTGGAAAGGACCTTAAAGATCATCCAGCTCCAATCCCCCTGCCATGAGCAGGGACACCTTCCTCTAGACCAGGTTGCTCAAAGCCCCGTCCAGCCTGGCCTTGAACACTGCCAAGGATGGGGAAGCCACAGCTTCTCTGGGCAACCTTTTCTAGTGTCTCACACCCTCACACTTCTTCCTTATATCTAATCTAAACCTACCCTCTCTCAGTTTAAAGCCATTGTTCTTACACAAAGTAAAATCAACAGAGCCAAGCATTTCACAAAAGTCAAGCCTTTCTCAGTAGGGACTTTACCCAAAGAATCAGGGGAATAAATGCCTTTAACACATGAATGAAGGTGAGAAAACTAAATTATCAGTAATTAATGCACATTTCTGGTTTTGTAAGTGCATGCATGCTGTAATCTTCATTATCTTTTAAATATTTGCTGCAATGATAGAAAAATCTAAGTAACCAATACTCTGTATACAACACACACTACAAAATGATGTAGTACACACATGGCATATTGCTACCAAACAGTCTTGAAAACTTGAATAATCAAGTTCACCTTTCTCACAACTGAGATTAAAACAAAGTCCCGATTCTCATTTACATGAAGAATTGCTGGCACTGAATAAATTCTCTCTAGTGCAAACAAGAATCACAAGAAGAAAGCTGGTCTAATACTAGGTGTTTCTATTAAAGTGATTCCAGTGCAATCTTCTAAAATGACCCAGATTAAAATTAAAGTCTTCCATTAGGAAAGGAGGCCAGGAGATCCAAAATGGCAAGAAAATCCAGTCAGTTTTGTATGTCTCGAAACAAGTATTTAAATATTTCATTTAATCAGTTCTTGCACAATGGTACGTATCTTTACATGCCTTCATCTTTCTCCTTGAGAAAGCAGATTTGAAATGATCTAACATGAAAAATACTGCTAAGTCTATTCATAAAACAGTATTCTATATTTTTATTTTTCAAACAGCAAGTGACCACATTTAAAATGCATCATTTGCAAATATAAATTACCAAACTATTAGTTTAATTAAAAATAAAGCAAAACCATAACTTCCCTTAGTATCACAATACAGAGAAAGGTATTATAAACCCCCCAAAACTAAGTTAACCATAAGAAAACAATAATGTCAAAAGTGATGAAACTCATTAAGACACTTAATGAATAAACCAATCCTAAGAATACAATACCATTCACCATGATTATGTTAAAAAAAAAAAAAGAAAAAAGCAATCTTTCATTGCATTATACAGATAAAACAATCCAATCCTTCATGCCACATTTTGTAAACCATGATATAAATTACACTCACAGTCAAACGAACAGGAAGAGTAACTCCCAAAATATTTTACGTTGCTTTTAGGGCAGAAATAAAGGCAGAAATAGAATCATTTAAAATATATCAAGTTTAACCAAAATTCATTTGGTCAAGCCTGCTATCCAAATAGTTTTGTTTCCTGCAAAACTATTTTTGTCTTTTTTGAATTATGAAATTTAAATGTTTCTTTTAAAATTAAATGCAAGTCACACTGAGCTACATTAAATCCTTTTATACTTGGATCATTTTTGCCTTGAGACCCAAACATCTTTCATGTATCTACACACACACAGACACACAAACACACACACACTCTCTCTCTCTCCATCAGGAAATTCCTCATTTCACAGGAATAAAGAAACACTCACATACTGATTTCTGTCAGGAACATAAGAAATATACAAATTCATACTTTTCAGGTTCCTACAAAACCATCTCTCACCTATATACAAACTTTTACTGATGGAATTGAGGCTACAGTCTTTGATAATAAAAGGACGGAAAAGATGTTGTAGGATAAAGAAATACTGTACAATCATTGAAATAAACCTATTATCCTAATTTTATCTGTATGCATTTTTTTTTTTATTAATTGAAATACAAAGAAGGCATATGGACTTCTGGAAAATAACATTATATAGGAAATGCACTGTAATAGTGTTCCACTATATATATCATCAGGTTTTCATAATACAATTTCTTCTGTACTCTAGATTTTGTACTAATTTCTCTGTCTTCATCAATTTCCAGATCCAATTCAGCACTACATAGTATGCCTTCAAAATAAAACGAGGTCACTTGCTTTACTGAATACCAAGTTCCTTGCCAGACAGCACTAAAAAAAAAGACAAGACTACACAAAGTCCAGTATAATTCATTTCTGACAATGAAAATTTCAACCCCTCATACTGTTGTAAAATTCCTCCTACTGAAATGCTTTACTACAATAATAATAATAATAATAAAAAGCATACATTACATATAAAAGATACCAGTGTACTAAAAGTGACAGAAGTGGACTAGCAAATCCTTCAAAGCACATATTATATAAATGACTAGCATTTAAAAACATTTTTTTGTCTATAAAATGTAGGTCATATACATTTATAAATTGGGGGTAGGGGGTTCTAAAGCAGTGATGACTGTTCAGATAGTTATGCTGCTCTGTACATTCTGTTATCTATTCAATTCAAACTATAAGTTCAACATATAGATTATTTATTGGAATATACCCATCTCATAGCTTGTAATTTGAAAAATACGCAACTCAAACGAAGAGGTGACTTGTAAGTTAACTGTTTATCTGCATATCACATAAGAAGAGAACTACTCCTTTCTACTGGAGGCCAAAGTCTCATCAGTTCAGTACCGGGACTTAAAGGCTCCAGATTTAAGCGGAGGAATTGTCAGGAATCGGCACAGAAGCAGAATAGTATCTCTCATCCTTTAGAGACACAGCTATTCAACTTTTGCAGTCTTCCTCAGCTTGCAGAAGTGCAGACAAGCCATTCATTTCTTACTCAAAGTGTGTACAGATGAAGCCACAGATCTAAAGACTGTCCCCTATGTGACTGAAATTGTGCTGTGTAAACAATGTTATATACTCCAGCAGGAGGACATCTGAATTTATTTATAAAAAAAATGATTAAGAATATTCATTAATTCAAACAAGGCTATTAACTCCCAAAGGTATTTTTGGAACTTATCCTCATGCTACTTGTAAAGTTAGCACTGTTGTGTATTATTGCTTACAACCAGTACATCATCATATGCCTTCTAACAGAGCGGTACTGTGATCAGTTCGTAGGTATTTACAGGCTTTTTTGTTTTGTTTTTAAACAAGCTATAAAAACATTACATACTTTACAGACAATACAAATACTCAAGTCGAACAAATGGAATGCATAACAATAAGAAACGTCAAAAAGGAAGACTGACATAAGTCCTTGATTGTCAAGACACATTTATATTTATATATAAACTCTAGCTGTGCAGAATCAAAGATTCAATCATAGGTACATCCTTATTTGATAAATCATATTTACAGCATGATATTGCATAAAAAAATAAAATAATGTTGTTTACACAATATTACCTTTCCATCCATTGGATTAAGGAAAGCAAGAAACAACTCTTAGAAATGTTTTCTTGCCTCAGTTTGTGTTTCCTACCAGAAGATGTAATTTTATAAAGGAAACAAGGTTTTATATGCCAAGTAGAGCAAAAGCGACTATAAATTTATTGCCCTGACACAAAGCAAATTAAAACTGGACAAAAATTTAAATTTTAACTTAAAGACATCTTTCCATTAGCAGTAATACTTTCCTAGTACTTGTCCTTTGCAAAGTGAGTTTTAGCTAAATGCATTACATGCCTAACATAAACATGCATTACTGTAAGTTGAATGAACTTTCAAAGTTACAAGGCTTCATTTTAGTAAAAAAAATAACACTAGGAAACTGTAACGTTATTTGTTTGCTTCAGTACCAACCATGTAATTTGAAAGTTCACATGTGGACTGGTACCGAGTTGCATAAACATATTTCTGCCCGTTAAAATTTTCAAACGGATTCCCAGGAGTATTAGGTTTTTCCCTCTGAGTTGTAATGGTATTAAAACAAGCAAACAGAGAATAAAAAAAATCAAAGCTCTCAAAGCCAAGAAAATTCAGTTAGCAAATATACATACATAAAGTAGTCCAATGCTGCAAAATTCAGAATGAATTCATCCAAATATTCTGGTTCATTTCAAATAGTTACTACATATGATACAAATACTGTAAAAATATTCTGAACAAGCATGTTATATAATGTATCTGTCCAGGTGGAAATTTTTCATAGGAGAACATGTATGCTTTAGAATAAACTCCAAAAGTTACAGTAGAACCCCAATAATTTGCAGCAATGGCTTAGAAACCCTTTACAAATGATAATTCTGAAAATAGTGAAGAAGCAGGCAATGAAAGCAAGGATGTCACATCATAAAATGTACTTTGTTCATTTATTTTGACAACTGTAATTTAGTTTTCAATACTTCTTCTACCTCCCAGTATACTTGTATAAATTCTGTAGTATACTTGGGTGAAGTCATACAGTATTTCTAATATCAGACCTCACTACAGTACTTTTTAGACTATTGCAGAGAGGTGGGGAAGAGATCATTGGGGATGTATAAACCTAATGGAGGCTCTGATTAGCGGTCAGCGAATTAGCAAGATTTTACTGTACTTCTCAATTAACAATGAAAAGCTCCCATCATCCAAAAAATTGACAAGTATAATCTAAAAATAATACAAGTGTCATTTCACATGAATACTTTCTTGTCCTATTTTCTTCTTGAAACACCATTTTCCTAAACACAACACTAGGAGACACAAGATCATAAACACAGTTCTTTTATCATCCAATTTAAATTGTTTAGGTTGATATTCGTAAACCAACATACAGTAACACATATGGTTAATCCTCCTCCCCAAACCTTGTAATTTATGATTAATTCATTCTCAAATCAAATGAAGAAAATGTAATTGCCTATTAGCATACCATTACAATTCCTTCATTGTCTGTTATATTAATGGTAAAACATATCAATGGGTTCATGCTAAAAGGGACACTGTCAAGTAATTTAGGACCAAAATATGGTCTATTAATATGTGTGTGTGTATATATATGTACTGCACATATAGTTTGGTAATAAATGTAATCAATTTCCTCCTTTTTAAAATCATCATTGCTCTATCACTAGGAGATATCCCCAAAAAATTCCACCTTACACACACACAAACACACACACACTCTCAGTGCTTGCATGACCTTTAAGTAAGAGCGTTTGCTGTTAGATCTGTGGAATATAAATGCTCACCCCAGCTTTATGCGGACTGACTGAACAGTATCAGTCTATGAAAAGAACAGAAAAACAAAGTTGCTTTTTCCGAGATACAAACGGAAAACTAACAAAAATGCGCACAGACCAGATCAAAATGAAGAGTGTGACTCTGTAGCAGATTAAAAACAGCAAAACATCAGCAGTGGAAAATGTTACTAAGTAATGTGATTATTAACAAGCAAAAACTTCCTACATAGTTAAACCTCCCAGAACTACATATACACTTATTTCATAGTAAGAGGGCATATGCTTGGGAAATCATTGCTGTATACAGTTGGCTATCTCCTGCAGTACAGAAAGCTTCAAGTATCAGTGGATTAACTACTCGCACCACCGCTTTAATTGTACACGTGGAAGAATCCTATAAGACAGTCCCTTTGGGGTAGACAGGGACTTCAACACCTATCCTAAGGCACGGAGTAGAGCTGTAATGGCTCAGCAGCAGGCTAGAGAATAAGCTGCGACATAAAGAATAACTGTTCCCCAGGTGAGTGCCACTTTGTTCTGAGCAAGTTCCTTCAACTCTTGGAAGCCAAGAGCGCTTGTTCCCTCACACACCCCAGAAGTAACTCCCAAGTCTGAATATGGCATGGAGTGAGAACTACTCCTTCCTACTCCTCAAGTCACTTTCTCACAGCATACTATCAATGTAGTAACTTTTGAAAATAAAGCTGAGTCAATCTCCTCAGGGAGAAGGAAGTTTTGTTCCTCTGACCTTCCTATGGGGCCAGAGAAGTGCAGTAATCATCTAGCTATTTTTTTTTTTTTTTTTTTTAGCTTTTGCTGCTTGTTGTATTTAACAAATACTATTATTAATGGCCATCTACTTGCAGCAACAGGTCATTAGAACAATGACGCCAACACAGTATTACTCAGGCAGCACAGGCTAGGATGTCATGTAAATGAAACACTGAAAACGAAACATGCATTACAAGAGGTGGCTTCCAGGGATATTGGGGCCAGATGTATTGTGTCTGTGCAACACAGAATGGAAAGTCAAAAAACCAAACTGACCATAAAGGAAGAAAAACAGAGAGACATGAACCAGTTTTAAAATATCCTTTAAAGAAATTTCTTTACACATATCATCAATAATCCATGAGAAATTTACTTTTCTCCCTTGATGCTCATTCTTCATAACTCAGGGCCAAATACTCGGACAAAATTACTGGCAAGTCATGGCATGCTGAAACACCTTCCTATATTATACACAGGATCAATGAATCAAAACAGAACCTGCTTTGTTATACAAAAGTATTAAGAAGTTTACATAAATTGTATTTCTTGTCAGTATAAGAAGCAAGCAATGGATAATAAACATACTTTCTCCCTCAACTGTACCAGGTGAAGGAAGCACTTAAACAGTGCTACCATTAGGGAAAAGAGATGGATCAGCTTCCTAGTAATGAAATTAAGAAAAATACTGCTACTGCTTTGGGAAGAGGTGGGAACTGCTGTATGATCTTCTAAAGTCCTTTCTTAAAAGAAGGATGTATTTTAGCCCCTTGAGACGCAGTCTTTTCTCCTAGCTGATGGCTTCATCTGAGAGATACCACCTAGCAATAGTGCTATAAAAGGATGTATGCAATCCTATTTAAAAAAGAAACACAACCACCATATACATACATACCTATATATATATATATATACATGTGTGTGTGTTTTTCCCTGGTTAATCAGCCTAAATTAGGCTTAAACTGCCTTAAACTACCAGACAGTGTCCCTTTAGGGAAGGTGCAAAAAAATGAACATACAGTTCAAAATCTGTAACTTGTTAACTTAAACTATACAATAGTTATGCTACTCAAATATTACCACCTTAAAAATGCACACATAACTACTTATCGTACCATACTGTATACTTCAAGACAAAGTACTATTCAAATAAACATATTCATGGTACAGGGATAAACTTGGTAGTTTATTTATACGGTGAAATGCAATGAAAAGTTCTGATCACTTGCCTATGCTGGAAAAAGAAATCCTGTTCACTAGCATTATTCAGCGGTTCTGGCTGGTAAAACTGTAATGACTTTCACTAAGCAAACACTAAAAAGGTAGGGAATTTGAATTGAATGCCCACTTCTTCAGCTTTCAGGGGGTACTTCAATAAATTTAATTATCTCAATTGTCAAAATTCTAGAAAGAGAATTAAAATTTTTTTTACGGAAGCTAAGTGTACCCAATCTCAGGTATACTGAAAAGAATTACTGTATGAGATGAAAATGATGCAACCATATCAAACCTAAAAATGGTTTTATTTTTTTGAGAAATTAGAACTATGAAGTTGACTAAGTGCTCTATGTTAACCATTATGAGTATGTAGGGTAAGGTACAATTAAGCTTTTAAATCCTGGAATACACAATTTGTGTAAGCATTACGCAATTGGGAATGTCAGCTACAGAGTATTTTAACTAAAACTTCAGAATCTTGGTATCTGTGTATGAAAAAGTCATTAAAAAGTTACATCTAGATTCGGCTGTACAAAGAAATACACATTACTTCAGGAATGAAGTAAAGGCTTTAGCAATTAGGCATTTTGCTTTAAAAAAAGTGTTTAAAATATTTTAAATTAATCAGACTTTTAAACAGTAGTCTACCAAAAATCAATTTTTCCTCCAAACCAACTCAAGGTAATGCAAAGCATAAATAAAAGGGCACATGGTCTATAATTATTTTTGAGAGAGATGGGCAAACGATTCTTTCTTTAGAAAATGCCATCTTTTAAAGCCGTATTTGCCTGCCTTTGAATCTTATTGTTTATTCTGTGTGTTCAGTACATGTTGATTCCCTGCTGAAGAGCAATGACTATGCTGACAAGCTTAGAAATGACAATATGAATAGTGTCAGACAATAAACTGTCCTCCCGAAGCATAGAAGGAAACCAGTAAGGAAACAATCATGGGGGAAAGTCTTACCTGGGGATTTCGTTTATTTAAAATTTCATAGAAGGTAAAATATTTTCTAGATTCAAACAAGTGAATAATAAACTGCTTTTGATAAGGGCACCAACATCAGGCAGTTCAACAACTGCTGACTAACAAGATAAAGAAAAAAAAGAAAAAAAAGAAAAAAAAGGAAGCAGTTATTGGTCTTGCTAATATCAGCTTAGTTTTAACACAGAGCTCTTAAAAGCTGTACAGAACTCCATTTTACACAGAGCAACCCCCTTTTGACAAATGTGTTCTAAAGTGCCAGTATTATTTACAAAGGTTTCTCAGCCAAAAGTCTGGCCTGTTGTGGCATCAGGTGAAGAAGTCATCCCAGCTCTGCTATCGTTTACATTCACCAAGGGAAATTCTGGGAAATCAGCACTTGTCCCTGGTCCCCGAAGGTTCACCTGTCCATTGGCAGTGCTAAACTGAGATGATATTCCAGCTCTTGTCCCATGGTACTGAGCTCTAAAGGGCTGCTCAAACGAGCTAATCTGATATGCTTGATGAACAGGCTGTGCCTCTGCTTTCTTCTGAGAAGTTACTTGATCCAAGAAGTCCTGTGTAGAGGAGGAAGAAGAATGATTTGCCTCATCACCTGAAAAGGGAAAAGGGTGCTGCGAATCACCAACAATTAGTCCAAAATGAGACTTGTCTGGAGTTGTTCTTAATGGAGAGTTCATTCCCGATCGAAAGCTATTGACAGGTATAGATGTGTAGACCTTCTCCATGGAAGGAAATGCTGGCTGGGTTGTAAGAGTCTGGTTATCAGTCACAAAATTAAGGCTTGGGTTGTTCAAATAGGCATCATTTTGGCTAGTTCTGTCCAAAGCTTGTTGTAAAAACTTTGAATATTCTTGTAACATACTAGCTTTATCTGATGAGGAAGCTTGAGAGCTTGTCCCAACAGTCTCAGATTGGGTGACCTCAGATACTTCAGAAGAATTGATTGATATACTGGAAGTCACCTCAGTGTCAGCCACACTGAAAGATATCTCATGTTGTCCATTAGCCTTGTGTGAATAATGATCTAGCAGAGTCTGCAGTACCTCATCTGGAATGACATTTTTGTCATGGTTACCTTTAATTTCAACATTCAGTGCCTGTGTGTCTAATATTGAGGCTGTAGCAGTTTCATCAATGACGCTGGCCACAGCCGCCTGCGTTACTGAAGGTTGAGATGCTATGGTACTTACATTCAAGGCATATTCTCTACTGTTATTACTAGCTGCTTGTAGATATCTCTTTTTCTTTAAAAACTGCATTGCATCATCATAATTAGTGCTGCTGTGTACAGGCTTACTGGGTCCTTCCTGTAATGTGTCAACTTGATCAATGTCAGCATTACCTTCAGAGTCCAGTAAACTTTGCTTATCCACAAGATCAAAGGCATACTTTGAAACCTTGTTGTCTTCATATGTAGATAAGGGTGAAATGGTTTGACTTTGCTCAAGTGGCTGTTTCAGACTCCTCTTGCTGTTAACCTTTTTGAGAACAAGTTTAGGTGGGTGTATTTCTCCAGAGTTTGCTTCTTCTAAGTGCGTTCCACTGACCGAAGAATGTGGCATCTCGACAGCATATTCCGCTACCATATATTCATCTTTTACTTTAGTACTAGAAGAGTACAACGGCAAATAGTCATTTTTGTCCTTCTTCTGTTCCAATTTATCTGCACTTTCCTTATCCCCAGATTTTGTTTTCTCTGTTTTCTGCCTTTTCTTCTTTGGCAAGGAGCTGTCTTTCATAGGCGTAGAGAAACCAGAATCTTCCTCTGATGGCAAGAAGCCAACTTTGGTGGCACTTCTGTTCGGTTTCTTGTCGCGGTTTTCATGGCACATACGTTTATGTTTCAGCACACGATCAGTCCTGGAGAAATACTGCAAAAGATTATTTTATTTTATTATTTATAATTATTATAATTTTTGTAAAATATATTGCCAAAAAGAAACCTTTCATTCTAACTAATTTACTTGATAATTCATCCACTTTCCTGATTTCTAATAAAGTGTCAAAAAATGGTATGTAATCAATAATTAAGCAGACAGTTGTGACTCTGCTCCACCTGTGCATCAGGACCACAGACCACATACCTCAACAGAAAAAAAACATTTGTTATATGTTTATTTGCATGCACATGACTACAAGACCTGGTAAAAATCCTATCTGTACTGCTTGGGAATTGGCTGGTGTTTTGTTTTGCAATTGTGAAAGATTTCACTAAGTCATCTTACCTGCAAACAATATTCACACTGGTAAGGCTTCTCTCCACTGTGCGTTCTTTTGTGCCTTTCCATGTGATACTTCTGAATAAACCTCATACCACATTCATCACAACGAAATGGCTTTTCACCTGATAAAAAACACACAGCAATGTTAATCTAAAAGAAAAAAAAAAAATCTATCTTCTTCCATACAATTACCAGCACAAATATTACATTCTCTATCAGAAATTATTAATAAAGAGGATTTAGCCTGTTGCTATGAAAAATAACATAAGGCTTCCCCACATCACATTTTTCCCATCACTCTGCAGTCAATGCCTCTAACTTTAAGCTTTTACACTGAAAAAAACCACCCCAAGCCAGCCACCGCCTTCAAATCTAAATTCTTGCGCCCTCTTTTTAATGTAGTTGCAGATATCTGTCTTAAACCTAACAAATGAAGAACTGCAAGGACAGCTTTCCTGAACTGCTGCTGCTGCATAATATTTTTTTTTAGGGCAGCCGATTGTATAAAAATACCTCAATTCTCTCACCAGCTCATTAACTCAAACCCACCCCTTCTAGAAGAGAATTATGCATTTCCAAGCTTTTAATTTAACATTTCAGAATGGTGTGCTGTACTTTCCATATTTTTCCTTACCTGTATGTAGCATTGAAATAACTGTTCTAATAATAGCTATTTTGGTTGGAAACCAAATTTATTTATTTATTATGAATTAAAATATTTTAAAAATTAAGCTGAAAACAAGGGGCCTCTGTAGCTGAACAGCCATTTGCATACTTACAGGCTTTTCCGTTTGGTTGGGATGTTTTGCTTTTTTTTATTTTTATGAAATATTTGTTCAGACAATATTCATTGCCCTGAATTCATCTTCAGTTTCCCCCTTATTTTTCCTCTCAAAGAAGCTCTGCAGTGATCCTTAATAACCCTTTCAGAACCTGGGATAACTCTTTTTCTTAAAAAAACAACCTTTTGTCCTACATCTTCCCTCCAGTATTTTTATTTTCCAGGTTTCTCTAAAAAAAAGACCAAGTGCATTGAAAAGCTAGGTTTACTTTTACAAAAGTTCACTATTATTTAATAAAGCTCATCCTGAACAACATTAATATTTACTATGAAATAGTTTTGAACTGGATTGTCTTGGCAGTATCTATCAACATCCTTTGTTCGGATACTGTACTGCACTGGGTTTGGGGATATACATAATCTATCTTTTGTCTCCAGAAATATGCAATTTCTATTTTTCTGAGGTAGTTTTATTATTAAAAATATTTTATGAGATGATTTATTACATTTTAATAATAAATACAAAATGTTAATAAATTTTATTATTTACAATGTTATTAGAGTGCATATTTTCCATTTAGAATATTTAGCCATCCTTCTACAAAAGGAAATATGGTACCTTAAAATAAAATATGGGTATTTATAGAAACTAGAATGGAAAAATATCTGTATCACTCACACATTTGCTTCTAGTCAGATCATTAATGCCCAGTTTCAACCTTCTTAATTCCAGACTATTTCTATATCTCTGCCTTTTAAGCCTATGCCCTATTTCCAATTATTAATTCTTAACTGTCCATGTGTCTTCTCAGCAAGTCCCTTTCTTGGATTAAATTATTCCAATTTATTCTCTCCTAAATCAAATTATTTGCTCTCCTAAAATCTCTCAGCTTCTATCAGTTTTTTCTGTAGGCTCACAACCTCAGCATCCTAAGTCTTCTTTCACATTTAGTCAGAGACTAATTTTTACCATTTCTTGCTTATTAATAATTACTGTTTTTTTTCAGCACCCTTCATAAATTATAGGGCCTACCATATAATACTCTCATGTACTGTCTATAAACACATCTTCCTCTCTGGCCTATTTCTTAACATTCAAACTCCAGTTTCATTCTTCATGTTCTCTTTATTTGCTATGCACCTTTACTACTTCAGTGCTTTACTTCCACCAGCCCTGTTGAGACTTTGTCAGTTTTTTCAAAGTTCAGTCCTTGTCTTCATTTTTAAAGAAGATGAGCCAAGGCGTTTAGTTCTCATTGTTCTTGTTTAATACACAGGAACCCTTCCATTCTCAAAGATGACTAAATCCTTGTTACTTACTGTTTTCTTTCCCTTTGCCCCACTATTCTACTTTGTGTTTCTTTTAAATTGCCCCTGCAAGCCCCTACAAACAACCCTCCTTACACTGCCTGGAAGTTTGCTTTCACGCTAAAATCTTAGATTTTAGGTTGTTGTTTTTTTTTTTTCTTTCTTTTCTTTTCTTTTTTAGAGAAAGGAATCAGTTGTTTGGGATGAAAAACTCTCCTGAGCCCTAGGGAAGCCAAACCACGACAGAGAAGCAAGACAGCTCAGCTTTGTTCTAGCTTTGAACTGCCCCCTAAGGAGTTATCTTGTTACCCAAGAAAACGCAGAGCACTTCATTAATGCACTTACCTTCAGCCTTATACCCATTTTTTCTGCAAATGCATGGTCACAGAGTTCCTTAACATTTGTCTGCTCAAGCTGGCTATTTGATGGCAGAAGACTCTCCCAGCTACCTATTCCCATTTCAAGGCTTAAATAGGGCCAAACAGGGGCTCTGAGTTTTTTCATTGTAGTATATTACCAACAACAACTATTTTGGAGTCTTTGAGAGTACATGGTGGTACCACTGATGGCCACGCCGTAACAGGAAGAAAAGTCTGGGGACACTGTCCTTGAATTTCAGCCCTTGAATTTCAGCACAACACAGAAAATAGTATTTTTCGGTAGAATTCCAGAATGCTCTGGAAGCAAGATTAAGAACACTTTGTGAAACTGATACCATACTTAATTTTTGCTTTAACCTTCACAAGGAAGATAATGTTAGGAAAAGATTAAAATTTAATATGCAGATATGCTTCCTATAATAATTTCTCTCTAGCAGAAGCTGGAAGCTTAAGATGCCTTCTGCAACTTTGCTGTACTTTTCAAAGAGGATCTACTGCAAATGGAAAAGATCATTAATAACAACCCTTTTCTAATGTAGGGAGAACCTAGGAGATAACTTTCTGAAACGTGTTGGTGAGTGGGAAAGAATCAGGTGTAGAAAAAAGGTCAAAATTTAAAAATACAAAACAATAATTATATGCATTATTCTCAAAACCAGCCTATGTTTTGTGTCTTCATTGGAAATCTATTAAAACTGAGCAACAGAAGTATTTATAAAATTTAGCAGAAATACCGTACGTATGAAGGCTATAACGATTATAAACCCCCAGGCATTTTAAGTATCTAAACAGAGAAAATACAAAATACCAAAGAAGGCAACAAAAAAGCAGCATGACTGAATAATAAGGCACTTGAATCGTTAACCCCAGTGTTGCTTTATTCTTTTTTAAATGTAATCTCATTTTTTGTGCTTAAAATGGGAAGTAGGGTGGGTTACAGAATTAGGACACATGAATGCATGAGTGGGTAAGGTGTATAGACACATCCCCAAGCAAAAAGAGAGCAGACATCTTTGAAGAAAAAAAATCAAAACCTAAACCATTCAGCATCTGTGAGCCTAATAAACTCAAAATATGAAAATATTTGTGTACCAGCAACTCTCCCCTCCCTTACAACTGACATGGCAATTTTCTGTATCATTAGCGACAAGTTTAGCAGCAGGGCTCCAGCACTGCTGCCCTCCTCAACACACAATTATTTCTAGTAAGTGAATTTTGGCTTAATGCAATGTCTGCTTTTAGATGCAACTATTTAATTATTTACACAGAATAATGTTCATTGATTGCTTCCTAACTCCCTCATAACATTTCCTTTGAAGGAGTAGTTCAGAGAACCGAATTCAAATCACACTGGAACTAGCTGGAGCACCTGTAAATTCCGGGCTTGTAACAGGCATAAAATGGGGCTTCTAAGCGTTACCACTGTCTCCAGTGGGGTTAAAACAAACTGGAAAATCTGATAAACATCTTTAAAAGTGTAAGAATCAACCTGTTTTTTATCAGGGTTTTGAAGACTCTGAAAAAGTTGGTATTAAAAGTGGTTACACAGAGAGACAAAAATGCTAAATAAAAAGAAAAAAAACAGTATTGAATTTATAAGGAATATTTCTTTAAAAGCACAAATAATACAAAGAGAGTTTCATTTTATCTCCATCAAAGTGAAACATAGACCCACTGCTCACCCTCAGGTGAGAAAAACAAGCTGAAAAATCAGCTGTTCTGGATGGGTTAAATTATGCAGTCCTAAACAACAGAGCAATGCTGCAGAAACAGCTAAGGCCCAATAGTCAATATTGTCACACAGAAGTGAAAGCACAGACAGGTATATAGAATGCCAATTAGCTACACTGTAACTAGGCAAAACCAAAAATTAAGCAGTAGTTAAATACTTGCTAGCTAAATGGACTTCATAAACATTTTATCCACTTGTGGAAGCTGGGTCTTACATTTTCTCCTAACCACCTACTAGCTGTCACCTAAGAAAACACCTGTAATTCTACAATTTAAAACACAAGCACAATCTTCAATTTCCTGAGAAACAACCAAATATATCTCAGGATGCTGAGGAAAGGAGGAAAACAGTTATCTAATACAGTCAGATAACAATATAGTTAATTTGTTAAATGGCACCTTTTTCCCTGCTAAACAGAGACTAGTATACGTAAGAGCTGGGACCCTGAGATCCCACCACCCCCTCCCTCCAAAGCTTACAATCAACACAAAATTCTCATTAGAGCTAGAAGTTGAATTAAAAAAAGTAATTAAATCTGTTTATAAAATATTTGCAGTCAAGTGTTAATTAACTGAATCACCCAGACTCTCATTTTCAAAGCCACGTACAGGGAATAATCCTCATTAAAAAAAAAGAAAAAAAAAAAAAATCATCTGAAAAACATGGAGACTACTTAAATTTTTGCCTTTTTTGGAGGGTAAAGGGGAGAGGGCTGGCCAGATAGATGGAAGAGAGTGAATGAGCATTCTTTTCAAGAATAGTATCTACACAAAGTGGAGGCAGCATGGTTCACCAATTCAGAGCCAGAGGAAATACTAGGAGCAGAACAAAGACACTGGACAGAAGAATGGAGGACTCTTCTGTGGCTGACTGGCTGAAGGAAACCTACTTAGTCTGGACTCATGGCAACCTAGGATACAAAAATCCAATAAACAACAGGGCATTTGTGCATGTAACTCCCTGTACACTGCTCTGAAAATTCATCTCGCAGAGTTTTTTCTCCCTCTCAACTCTTACACATGCACACACTGCACTGCGTGTTAGTAGCTTTCATATCCATTTAAATAAATGCTACAGCCAAGAAACACTGTGCACATTCAGCAGCTCTGCTTTTCTGAAAAAGAGGCTGAGAAACTGGCATCTAGTCCAAAGGGACCATATTACAAAATATTTAAAGAGGGATTGAAAGGCCATGCACCAAAATGCCAAAAACCCAATGAAGACAAACCTGTTAAAGAACGTGGTTTTGTGCAGTGCAAGAAGATAAAAAAGTAAACATGTATAAACTATAACTCTTTTTGGCTTAAAACTTTGGGCCTTATTTGACCTATACTGCCTATTTTTAAACTAAGGCTCTTATTAAAACAGTTCTGAATTAAAACTTAAAGAAAAAAAAAAAAAGGCGGCGAGAAGTAAATCTGATACTAACACCTCTGGGGTTAGGCATTTTGGCCATTTTAGTCCTGGCACTTTTTCATCAAATTCCAAAATAAAGAAATAAATTACTGAAATGCAATTTGGAAGTCCCCGTTATCTGAATTAACTTGATACAACAAAGACAGAACTGCTTAACAAACTTTGACTTCTGTGAACATACAAACTTCATGGTTTGTTACTCCGTGATTCTTTATAGAATACTACTTTCAGATTTCTTACTGGAGTTTACAGCCAAAGAAAAGTGGAGCAAGTTGAAAGCACAACACTAATTTATTTTTTAAAGTTTTATAACATCTGTTAAGTTAAAACAACTACAACAGGGTTTTAGGCTGCATACGTATTACCAGAAACCTTGCCTGAGTGGGGAAACAGTTTTTAAGCACGCCAGTAAAGATACTCAAGGCACTATACTCACCAGTATGAATCTTCTCATGCCTCTGTAGCAGGTACTTCTGTATGAAACGCATGTCGCACTGACTGCACTGAAATGGTTTTTCACCTTGAACAATATAATGCCACATCCATAAGTTAATAACTACACACTGTTGTTTCTGATAACTACTTTTGAGGAATATTAAAAAGTCTGCGTTAAAAAAACAGCATCTGAGCAAATTCCAAAAATACTCTAGTACCAAAAAACATTAGTCTTACTAAGTATAAGAACTGCAGAATTCCTTCCATGATCCTAAGAGTCACATTAAGACTAACACGGAAGTGTGATCTGAAATGGCTGTAATTTCCTTATGAACAAGATCAATTAGGATGCTGGCATAAGACTTTATTCAGGATACTGGCACGCTGTTATAATGGTAAGTACCTTTTTCACTTCTCCGAACCAGAGAGATACCTCATCAGGCAAATAAGCAGCCGGAACACATTTTACAAAGGGGTCAATTTTGGCACTTAGGCTACAAGTCAACCCTTTACTTTCTGATAAAGAAAGAAAAGAAACCTTGTAAACAGTTAGGTCTTCAGTTTATTAAACATATGTTGATTTTTTGTTTCTGGTATTCTTTTGACACTTTGGTGCATGGAATCTCTAAGCTTAGATGCCAAGTTAGCTACACTCTTAAAACTGAAAATCGCATAGAGCTGAAAACATTGTTAACATAAGTAAACAACTCTTTATATAGTAGAAAAGACAAATTTGAAGTCAAGCAGTACCTGTATGAATGAAGACATGTCTCTGTAAATGGTAGTTGGTTCTAAAGGCAGCATTGCAATGCTCACAAACATGAGATTTGTGGGTTTTCAGACCAAGTGATCCATCCTCATTTATTGTAAGGATCTATTTTAAAAAGAGTAAAATTTGTTCTCACACTACCCTCTAAAGATGTCTTATTAACTACAAAAAAAAAAAAAAACATTAATTTTTTCGATGCAGAAAATTAAAGTATTTCAGGTAAAACAATTCTAATTTCTACAAAGCTATGTGTTAGGATTTTAGCATACATTTCCAATTGCAGTCCAATCCAACTTGTACCTCATTTTGTATTAAAGAGAGATTTCAACAGGACGGAGACAAAAGCAGCTCATGGAAAATCAGCTCAGAGCTCCCCTATTCACAGCTGGGTTACTTTATATGCTACTGTTTACTTTGTCCGTCTGTTGGAATGGACATAAAGTAACCAAATCACCTCTGGGCACTGAACCACGGATGGCCATATTTTAAAGGAAAAGTAAAACATTATATTCTTTTTTTCAAATTACAACTGTAAATGTTTGCTATAAGGCATTAAAACTTATCCAGGAGAGTCATACAAATTATGTACATCTACGTAATACCAGCAGTCCCAAAGGCAAAATTGTATTCTAAAAAGCAAAACCCCAAAGCCAAACAACCAAGACAATAGTATTCTTCTTCTCCCCTTTCAGGTTTTTCACTCAATAAAATATTGCTCACTCAATATACATACTGAAGCATCTCCTTGATGAATTCACCTTGCCACCCCCCACTGCTCTGCTGTCAGACAAAGCTTCTATTTTCATATCTAATTAAAAACTTAAACGAAAAATTTGCACATCTACCTTAGTCAATAAAGCTCATCACAAAATTTCTCTAATTTGTCAAAAAATCCAAACCCCAAACTCTCTACTAACTCTGGCAAGAGAATAAGAAAACCAGCAAACAAATTACAGTTCCAAAAGTCTTACTTAACTGGAAACAAAACTATAAAGAGCTTAAGTAACCTTAAATAAAACAGTTTAGTCCCTTGTTATTAACAAAAAAAAAAATAAAAGTCTGCGGGGGAAACACATTTTCAATTTGATTAGCTATGATGGTTTAGGTTTTATGATAATGACAGTGATGAGAAGGAGAGTCAATAACTGAAACAGTATTTCTGCAATAGTAGCAAATACTATAGGATCTACTTAAAATTTTAATTCTACTGCATCAAAATGTAGCAAGAGCAAAAGTCTCAAGCTAACAAATTCTTGTGCATTCACTCTGAAGGACAAGCACATTCATACGTTTGTAAGATTGGTATGTTACAGCTCCAATAAGTCACAGATACAGGTAATTACAAAAACTCTGTTCTGCAACAATGTACAGCTTATGAAACACTGACTGGTTATGTAAAATCAATTAAATACATGTTATGAAATATTTCTTGTATGTTGAAATTTTTAAATAATTGTGCAGAAAAGACACCTAATTTCACAGTTATCCTAACCCTGGGCTCTTCTACTGCATCCATCCATTGTACCACCTCTTAAACGAAGGAAGATAACTTTGTCAGTGCAGTTTTCCTAGTAAGAGCAACAAAAAACCTTTTATGTATGTATGTGGTGTGCGTGTGTGTGCGCATGCATGTATGTGTGTAAGCATGTGTTTGGGTGCATGGAAAACTACATAGGATAAAAGCTGATGAGTTTTTGATATGACGACTCCATTAATATAAAATTTAAGATGTTTCAGTATGTTAATTGACTTCCATTTGTAAAAGTCCCAGCTGCTCTTTGGATGGAAAACCAACCCCATCACTCTGGGAATGCTAGCTTAAACTGCAGTAGGGTCTCACCTATGTCAGCCCTTCAGCTTCCTTCTGGCCTTTTTACTATGCTAGTTTTGAAAAAAGGGGAAGAGAGCCTGAAAAAGAACCTGTTTAATGATTCGCCTGATTATTTTTCAATCTTTTGTCATCTCAAAAAACTAGCACTGACAGACTTGAAGGTAAAAAGGAAGCATGCAAGTACACGTCTGCAGAAAGAGAGACACATGCCTCTCCTACCTTACCATGTTTCCATGGAAGTGATCTGTGGACATACTCAACCTAAATCTCCTTCTTCTACCAAAGCCATGCACAGGATTTGGAACTTGCTTCCACACCCAATCTGAAACAATGTCTCAACTTTCCAATACTACAGATGCAACCTCATTTGACAATGCTTTGAGGAGGACTGAGGGGTCCCACTCCTAGGCAAACAAAAAGGAGGTTGGGGTGTTTTTCTTGGCGTTCAGGTGAGTTTGCCTTCAATGTATACACAGTCTGGATCGATTTCAGAGTAAGTTTCTTTTAATGCTGCTGCATGATAATATATAACTGATTTTTGCCTATCAGAGCAGCCTGTATATGCTCTATTTTAAGCCTGAAGATTAATAGTGATTTGGGGAATTACTAGAAGACATAACACTGCTACCTCATGAGGTGAAAAGATTCTGGGTTTATCTGAAGTGCATCTCAATAGAAGAAAATTGTTTTCAGACATACTGGGATACATACTCTTCATGAATGGATCTACAAAAGAAATTTTGAAGTAACAAACCAGCAGCTATGGTAAGAATCTTTTGATAATAAAGAAATACATATATGAAGATGATTATGACCACAGGAATAATCCCTACTGGTAAATTATTTTTTATATATTAGTAAACTTTTTAGAATTTTCAAAACTACCATTTTAGATTTCTTTTTAAAATCTTTTCACTACTATGCATGAAGCATATAAAATTATCAGGCTCACAGAAAAGCACAACTATTATTAGATAGATACAGAGTAATGATTTATAAACTGTATACAAAGCTACTCATAATTTTAAAAAAAAATTATTTGGAGAGAGAACTGCCTGGAGAGACAGATGTTAAAATATGGCAAGGGTTCATGTTGCTAAAAAGAGTTCAAAGAAAAACACTGTTATATCAGGTTTTGGTTTGGGCCTCTGGTGAACTTCAGAGCTGCATCTTTACTGAGCAAACAAACAATTTCCAGCCTAACTACTTCAGTAATGAAATTAGTCATAGTCAACCAAATCTTCAGGTTCTTTTAATCTTGGTTTTGCCAAATCAATGTCTTACTTTTGCTGGTGAACGCTGTTTTCTTTTCTTCTTTTTCTGCAAATCTACTGGCTCTCGTATTTGTTTTTTGTCTCGTTTCTGTTGTTCAGATGCATCAGTAAAGGTAATTTCTTGCTTTACACTGATCTGTTAAGATACCAAGTGCCAGTTTCAGGTAAGGTTCTCACTACAGAAAAGCAATTTTTCAATTTTAGAAGATGACAAACTGCTGAAACAGAAAACCTTTTTCTAAGGGAATTAATCTCGTGGCTTCATTCTTTCAGAAATTTAAGTGAAAGGAATAAGAAGTGCCTTAAATAAAAAAAGGGCATAGTTAATTTCTACAGTGACATTTTGATGTATCCCTTCATTCATCTCCCAAGGTCTCTTTTCCTCCTGACCTGTGGTGATTTTGAGATCAGTTCTCATATTAAAATCACTTCCATCTGTAAAACCATCCAGGTTTTCATACCTATTTTACTTTAGTCTGTGTTGTTGTCAATGCAAGATTTAAAGGAATAGTTTATTATATATTTAAGACAGAAGTTGGTTTCTTTTAAGGAAAAAAAAACACAAACAAACAGTACTAATGAAGTTTTGGGGAAAAAAAAAATAATCTTGACCTAATGTAAATTTTAATAAAGAGCATGATACTCTTATATTTTTCTTCTAATGCCTCAACTACCTGATCTAAGAGAGTAGTGTTTTAACAATGCTACCTTTCTGAGGATTATTCTTCGTGTATATGGCTATCTAATTTTAAAGTCCTGGTAACTCTCCTTTATGTTTGAAGGGTAACAGTGATGATGTGCTGCATTACACCAGATGCTGTTTTCAGAAGGAAGTCATCTACATTCTCTCTGGGAAAGCTGAGGTACACCTTTTATCAGGTACCGAGGAAGGGAATATTTATGGTCATGTATGAAGTGTCACAGTCCAACCTGCAGTGTGAATGCAATTGCTAAGCGTCCACATACTTCGAAAACATGCAAGATGCTTCCTATAGCAAAAAAAACTAAACAGTACTATGAACAGCATAAACAGTATGCACCTTTTAATAATGCTATTTATTCTGGTTTGTAGTTAACCTTGAACATTAAATATATTTAAAGGAGCACATTTTAATGCATTAATTCTATGGTTAACAGCCTGCTCATAAAATATTTATAAAACAGATACTGAAAGATTATGCTTAATTGGCAAATCTATCCACGCCTAGAAGCAAATGACATTTTCATAAATAGCATTCATTCATAAATATTTTGATAATCAAAATCCAAACAAGCAATTAATAGATTCTTGCCAGAGTAGGATTAGACTACCAGATCAAGCTTCCTAGTAATTTCTCCAATATTTCACAAAGAAATTGCTTACAGGGACATTAACAGCATACTGCAGCCCTTGAGGAAGTCTATCTTGCGCATCGATGTCATCATCATTTTTTACCGTCTCCTCATGGACCATGAGTTCATCATGTGAAATCATCTCTTGCTGTCGAAGTTCACTCTCCTGTAACACTTCATCTGCTGCAAGAATTTCTTGGTGCGCCATAGTCCGATCTTGAAGCACTGCCTCTTGCCGTTCTCCCGACACTCCAGACTGGTCAGATACTGCACCCATCCCTACCATAGCCCTGGATGACTGCATTTGGTCTATGCCACCACATTTAAGAAATAATCCTCCCAGCTTGTCTTCAATGTTCATTCTTAAGTGCAATAACCTACAAAGAAAGTTTTAATAGTAAACATCTACAATTGGTGCTCTTGCTTTAAATTTTTTACTTAAAAACATTTTATGAGAACTCAGTCAGCATTCAACATACACACATGCACTCCTAAAACTGACAGCTGACTAAAAGCAAAAAGTTGGACATCTTGGTTCAACATGAAAAGATTCTCCCTTCACACACATGCATGTGTACACAACTGAACACTTTCAAATAAAAAGTTCAAAATCAAAGCGCCTTTTGATTACTGGCAAAATTCTGGTAATTAAGCAATAGATAATTCTTCCTTCTCATTCCTCAAAAATCTGTTGTTTTTTTTTTCCTGTATGCCCTTTTTACTCTGCTCCCTTTTTCCATTTTGACTCTCTTTTACAAATGCTTCTTTCATATTGGTCATGTTCTTCCTACTTCCTTGTCCTTTAAGTGCCCTTTCACCGCTGCTACCCCAGGGCATACTGTAGCTGCTGGAACATCTTTATATCCACTAAAAGTGAGGAAAAATTGGGCTGCATCAAAAGAAGCGTGGCCAGCAGGTCAAGGGAGAGCAGTCTCCCCCTCTGCTCCACTCTGGTGAGAGCCCACCTGCAGTGCCACATTCAGCCCTGGGGTCCCCAGCATAGGAAAGACATGGATCTGTTGGAGCAAGTACAGAAGATGGTCATTAAAATGACCGGAGAGTTGAAGCACCTCTTCAACTGAAGACAGGCTGAGAGGGTTGGGGTTGTTCAGCCTGAAGAAGAGAAGGCTCTGGGGAAATCTTAGAGCAGCCTTTCAATACCTGAAGCAGGCTTACAGGAAAGATGGGGACAAACTTTTTACTAGGGTGACGGTACAAGGAGTAATGGTTTTAGACTAAAGGAGCTACTGCAGATTCAGACTAGAGATAAGAAAGAAATTCTCTACAGTGAAGGTGGTGAGGCACTGGAACAGGTTGCCCAGAGAGGTGGTGGATGCCCCATCCACAGAAACATCCATGGAGAGGGCTCTGAGCCACCTGATCCAGCTGATTTTTTTTTTTTTTGGTGGGGGGGACATGACATGACACTAGATGACCTTCAAAGGTCCCTTCCAACCCAAACCATTCTACGATTCCATGAAAACACAGCTTTCTGGCTTAATGTATATGTCAAATAAAGATTACAGAGAGGTCAAGTGTGTTTATAAAAAAGGCATTTACTTTCACACCCACTAAGCAGGAGCATTAGTCAGGAAATATGAATTCCAGTCATGAATAGCAATACCACTGCATTGACTTCTGGCATACAGATATAAGATCATAATATTCCAACAAATGTCATGACATTAATTGTTTTTTAACACACGATGGCAGGCTTTTGTGAAGCTGGAATTGGCAGCATCTTCTTATTCTACTTATATATGCAAGACAGTCTTCAGGCTCTCCTCCTTGGCAGGAAGCTGTCCTACTTGCTCCTACTGGCTGTCCAGTCACAGCAGTCAGCCTTCTTCACCCTACTGCCCAGGCTAGTAACTCCTACCCATTCCACAGTGCTCTGGTCTACTCCTGACAGACAGACAGACATCCTCCCCCCATCCCTCTATCTTCCCACAGCTGGAGAGCAAAAACTACACAAAGGCTACAGCAGACACAGGGATGAGAGCAGAGGCACAGTGAAGTTGGACAACACACAGCGGGGCTAGCCAAAGCATTAGATGGGTCTCTTTGGGAGTGTTACGATGCACTCAGAATTATGACAGTGATGTTGGTATGCTGTTATTCATCAGCTTCAAATTCTGTCCCCCTCAGAGTGCAGCACAGTGAAAGACTCCATCCATTCAAATTTTAAGCCAGAGTCTATGCTGCTTTTCCTGCAGCTCTTGATGATGACTCATAACCAAAGAAATCAAGTCTCTCCGCCTAGAACTGGCAGGGCCATCACCATGCAGAACTGCAACACCATAGCTCCCTGCCAGTTGCAAAAAGCAACATGCAAAACACTGGATCAAACAAATGGGTAAATTTCAATTTTCAGTTTAATCCATTTCATCACTTTCAAAGAAATATTCTTCACCATGAAAGTCTTCTGAAAATTCTCAATGATCTTAAACATCTGTGAAGACTTTCATATATATATATAGACAAAACTACACTAAGTTTAGAAAATAAACAGCAGTCTTTTGTCAGGTGAGATCCTAGAGTACTTGGCAGGAATGCAAGCCACCAGCAGAAACAGCTGAAAGATCTTGAAGTTCTCCTTAGTTACACTTTCGTTTCAAATACTACTATTAGTTCTTAACCTTCTGAAAGTAAAATTCACTCAATTTCGTAAAAATAACAAAGAAAGGAATAAACCAACCCACCACATAATCAAAAAACCCCCAAAACCCCACCATTAACACCTTCCAGCAGCAACTCCTGTCATACAACTTCAAAGTGAGAGAACATTTGTCCCTGTTCTCTATTGTGACTGGTTCTAAATTTCTGAATATATCATAGAAAGGTTGACAGACAGGATGTTCTGACTTCTCAGAGTTTCAAATACTTAAGAAGCACACTGAAGAAAAGCTTCTCAGATGATTTGGTATCTTTTCAGTAAGCCTTCCCCAGCTGGAAGTCAGGAGGTCAGAGTCACCAGGCTAAATCTCTTTATATATGACATTGCCATAGAAAATGTTAATATTCTTCCTTTCTATGTAAAAAGCACATTCTAGGGACCAAAAATGCCTGTGTCATGAGGACAACATGGGGAAAATTCCTGTTCAGAGTACTTATGCTTGCAATTTGTCCTTTTCTGTTCTTCTGCAGTTCTAATGTAAAGAAGTTTGAAATCTTGCTCTTGCTTTTCACAGCATCTGACTTCAAATACAGACAACAATTCCTTAATGCCTTGAATGAACTCAGGTAGTGCTAGGTAACAATCCACTTCATAGTAAGAGAACGAGACTTCACATGCCTTCAAGGGAAAATGCATGTCCAGTATGCCACACAGCCACATGCAGACATTATATAACCCATGAAGTATTTTTTGGAGGTAACTGGGAAACCATACTGATAGTTTCTCAGCAATATCACAAACAAACAAACAAAAGAAAAACCCTGGCACAGCGCTAAGGCTGTATTTTTTCCACCAATGCAGATCTCCCAGAGAGACCTTGCAACAACATCCTAAAAGAAGAAAATGAGGATGACTTTATCGCCTTATAAATGTGGAATAACCTGTGCCAAGTAAGAAATGTGAGCAGGAACTGAAGTCCTTAATCTGTCTCCCATGGAGTCATTATTTGATGAGAGATGGTGCAAAATATCTAAAGTTGAGACTGGTTTCTTAGGTAGGAAATTTTAAACATGCAGCTTGAAAGACAGGCTCCAAGGGAAACACGCAGATACATTTACTTATTTCAGCCTTTATCCCAAATTAATCCACAGTCAGGATACATCTCAGATTGGCATCACTATGCTTTCCACACTACAGAAATATGACAGCATAAACTCACTGCAGATTCTTTAGAGGAATGACGTAGACAGGTACTAGAATACAAGAACTCAAGATGCTGAAACACATTCAAGGGAGAACAAACAGTATCAAGTGTGAGAACACTGTCTGCTCAAGCCACAGCACAGAAGGTTGTTCCACATGGAGGATACCACCATATCATTCTGAAATTAGGTATGGATTGTGGGAATCCTGGACTTAAAGCTAGGCAGACAAAGGCAGATAGAGAAACCGAGTGTTTAATAGTGCTACTCTCACCAACATAGGCAGGAAGACTCGCAAATGCAGAACCTTAGGACAGCTGGCAAGACACAGCAGCTGCCCAGAAGACAGGCTAGCAACGTACTGATATTTACTGCTCTTGTTAGTTTTCTCAGTTGCAAGGGATATGGAAACTTTTTTGTACTCATTCTGACTAGTTAGCTTAGCAGAGTCATGCAACTGAAAGCTTTCAAGTTGTTTTCCAGTTATGATCTTGACTCATATCAGAAGCTGGTGCACTTAAGTGTACTGCTTATTAAATCAGGCTTTTCGTAGAAAAATAATGAGAACTCACAGCATTAGGCTGCATATTCTAAGTGATGAAACACAATGTAAGCTATGTGACATTGCAGGTACTGTTTTAAAATGAAAAACCACCAACAAAAGTAAGCTATTAATCCAACAAGAAGCATCCCAATTGCAATCAATTCACTAAAACACATGTAATTTGTCAAGTGACACCTTCTGGCTCACATAAAAGGATTTCTATCATTTAAATTGAATATGAGGAGAAGTGTTCTTGGAAGAATGACAGTGTGATAAAAAAAAATGTAAGTTAAAAGCATTCAAACAAGCTCACTTTACGAAGCCTGCAAAGATTAGACAAATACTTTAAGTGCAAGATGAATCTGTGAAATAAAGATCGACTTATTTTGATATTTTCTTGAAGGAAGCTACAATAATGCAAACCATGTACACATAAGCACATTTCTTGGCATAAGACATTGCAATCCTTATTGCAGAGATGTTTTTCATGGAATTTCAGAACTTCTATTAAGCTTCACAAAATAATCATATTATTTTTTCTTTGAATTTCTAGTTCCTCTATACACTGACAGAAAAAGAGCTGTCAACAAAACCTTTAAAGTATCCTTTTTGCTTGGCAGAGTTCTCCAAGACTTTACTTCCACATAAAACATTTCACACGAGACATATACAGGCAGAGCCTCCTGGGCAGGCACACAGTTTGGGAGAGAAGAGGGGAAACTGGAGACACTGCATAGAAAAGGTCTCCTGGGACTACCCCAGCACCTTCTCTCCTCACACAGTGCTCCGCAGCTGCTTACAGAACATCCACAACCAGTGAACCATGCTGCTGCATTTCAAAAACTGCTGCTAAGCCAAACCTTATGGCAGTACTTCAGAACTATTCATTTCAGTAACCCTGACATCAGTTTTTCCAAAGATTTCTGGTGCAGTAATTTGAGTGCTAAAGACAATATTCCTAATTAAAGAAACAGCCATTTAAACGAGAACATATTAAATGAAAAGCATGATGTC